TGCTTTTTATTTTTTGCATGAAAATGAATATCAGAAAGAGTGCTGACAATCAGAACTTAAATAATTTATCATTAACACTAAGAGTAATTTTAGCAGATTTTAATGTGTTTTGAATAGTATCTCACATAAGCTCAGTGCCCTAGGGAGATGTGGGCCACCTTTTCCATCTCACTACCTTCTGCAAAAGCAAATGTGATGAGACTGTACATGGTAGCAAGCTATCAGAATCAAGGTATGACACTTGCGGTGCACATTTTTGTAATAGTGTTATCCATAATAACAACATACTGATGAAGATCCTGGAGCTTCATGAGATTAGAAACAACAACATAATACAGAGGCTGTATTTTGAACCATTCTGCCTGGATCCCTTCAGACCTATAGTCCTTTTTCTTTTCTAACCAGGGACCCAAATTAACCAGTTAGCAGAATTAAGGAGTGGTCACAGGAATTACAGCTGACTCCTCTTTTTGTGTTCTGTGTGAACTGGGAGCACTCCACACAACCTTCCTGTATCTCCATATCCTTCCCAGTGAAATGAGAATCATGCTAATACAGACCTCACATTATGCTTGGGATGAGTCTGCTACTAGGAATCAGTGTCAAACAAATGATGCATAGTTCATGCACAGATGTGGCTGCATGGAGAAAAAAGATTGTTAGGAGACCAACGCAGACAAGCATTTGCTCCTCATTTTCATATTCTCTCTCTCTCTGTCTCTCTCTGTCTCTCTCTCTCTCTCTTTCTCTCTCTCTCTCTCTCTCTCCCACACACACACACAAACACACACAAAAAGAATGAACGGAATAGAACAAATAAAATGGAGTGTGAAATAAAAAGTGGAGTGTGACTAAGAAAGACATTCAACTTCAATTTCTGACCTCCTTACAAACACATATAAACTTGTATGCACATATATACATATATATATATATATATATATATATATATATATACACATACCACACAAATATATATGTACATATATACCACAATAAAATGAATGTTTATTTTAAAAACCTCTCCTTTTGTTGACATTGTATCCATCTACTGACTATCTACCCATTTATCCAGTGAATAAAAAGATTGTCCTGTGTACCAGGAACCATTCTAGCATCTAAGGAAAGAATCCCGATCAGTCTCCTTGTCATAGAAGACATGTAAAACTCTGTTTTGTATTTCCTCTGAACAGCCAAATAATGCACCACTTTGAAATGAGCATCATCATTTTCCCACATGTACATATAGATATCCAGAACAGAAACCATGAGGAAAGACTAGTCCAAGCTGTCTCCGTCCAATGTAGCCACGCTGTGTACACCGTCATCATCTCCTGCCTGTAAGGTTTCAGTGCCCTCATTATTGACCTCACAGCTTTGCCCTTGTTTTCCTCCACTTCATTCTAATATCACAAGCGTGTTTTCTTGACCTGTCATAAACAGACACAAACCACATCCTGGTTCAGGTTAGCAGTCAGTGTATACTCAGCAACTCAGGAGCCTTGAACTTAGAAGGTATTGAACACACTTTCCTGATATATATATATATATATATAGATAGATAGATAGATAGATAGATAGATATAGATATAGATATAGATATAGATATAGATATATAGATATATATAGATATATATAGATAGATATATATATATCATACCCAAGTTAAAATAGTAACGGTTGAACAAATTTGAACTGTTCTTCTCTTATTCCCAAATCTTCTCTCTCTCCACAGTATTCTACTGGAGTTGTGTGTATGCTATTAGGAAGAAAATAAAATCTTTAATCATTCTTTCTTTCATTTAACAGCATAAAATGCTCTTAGTACTCATGATGTTTCAGCACTTGCAAGGTGTTGTATTGGCAAATTGAGCAAGGTCATTTTTGGCCCCAAAGCTTGCCTCCTGGTTTATCAACTTCAGCACCATCAGTTGGACAGATTATTCTTTGTTGTGGGTTCTGTCGTTTGTCTTGGTCACTGCCCTTTGCTCTATCCACAAGAGGCCAGTAGAGTTTCAGCAGCTGCTGTTATTTAAATAAACTATCTGCAGATGCTGTCAATGCCCTTTAATAACATCTTATTTAGCAGAAAAATCATCAGTGAGTTACATTTTTAAGGCTGGTGACTAAGCACTATAGATGAGAAAGTCTTATCATACTAGAAAGAATGTTGAGTGTTGGATATTACATTGAGCATCTGGATGGGCTGAAATATTATCATGGAAGCTAATGCTTAGGCACCATCCAAAGTTTCAGACACAAGTAACTGTAATTCATAAGTAAGAAAAGATGGAGATTCTCCACATAGATATCAGAACACATCACACTTCTGAAAGTCAGATAATTTTGCACCATTGAGCATGGCTAGAGCACCCATTGAACATGGGTGCTAGAATCAGAGGCAGGAACCCAGGACCTGTTCTATCTCTTCCAAGACACAATATTGATTTTACTTTTTCATCCCCAATTCTGTCAGTCTTCAGTTTTTCAGATCCAGGTGTGGATATTAGTTGTCTGCACTTAACAAACCAGAGACTCTTGCTCTCCAAGGAAGATTGTTGTCAGCACCTTCTGCACTATACTCCAAGAACAGGGCCTGTATTGTGCACTGGGAGTCCATATGGAGAGGGACTAAGATGAGTTTTGATGTTCGCTTACCAGCTTTGCCTTGCATTTTATTATCCCTTGGGCTCTTGGATCTCATGCAACAGAATTAAGAAGTAAGCTGAGCATCCACTTTGCTAAAGGAAGAATTCTGTAAGCCTTTTAGGCATGAGGAGGGGGACTGTGAGTAATTCAGAACTGAACCTTCTCTGCCAATGTATCTAGGTTACTAAGAGTCTAAAGTGTCATTTGTGACCAATGGGCTATTAAATGAACATGGCCAAAGCAAGTCAGACTCTTAAGAGTAGCAGTGAAGCAACTGAATTCTAAGAAAGCAAATCCTAAATCTCAGTGATAGAATAAGAGGGTCCTCTCATTTGCCTTCTGGTGTTCAGAGGTCATGCTAAAATTTCAAGTCATTAATTTTGTCCTTATTTAGATTATCTGTAATTAATATCTTCACATTCTAGAGTTTTACCAAGGCAGAATATTGAGTTTTGAGACAAGCATTGAGAAAATACAAAGTGCTATATAAATCCCCAAGCTTATGTCACTTATTTTTTTTTTAAACTAAAACACAAAAGCCTGCCTTTAAGCCCTAGGGAATTATGTTGATCCTTTCCACACTTGTCATCAGCTTTATACAGCTTCTATGGGAAAAGGATTATTATTCAAGGTAGTGATGGCAGCCAGTGCTTAGAGAAGGCTTCCTGCATCATAGATGAGGATAAGCATTTCCCATGCCTTAGCACATCTGGCATATAATAAGCCCCCCATGAATACAAGTATAAGGTCACCATCTTGCACATGAGGAATATTGCAATGAGAGAAAGAAGTTATATGTCCTAGGTCACATGGGTTATCAAGACGGCTCCACCCAGCCCATATGTGCAATATACTAGCTATCCAGAAGTGCCAAGTAGGAGTAGGGGCTGTACCTGTTCCTACTCTGTGATTCTGCTGCACAAACTGATATGGAAATGTACAGCCTCAATAAAGTATGTCAAATATTAGAGCAGAGGAAAATGCATGTCTTTGGAGCACTAGAGTACTGAGTTTCCAAGAGTGAATATTCATAGTTTCAAATGGCATGTAATAGTGAGATTGGCTGAGATGTCAAAAAGAAGCACTGAAATGCAAGAAGGCCTGGTGGTGTGTCTTGGGCAATGGAATGTGTGTCAGAATATTTATGCTGCATGTGGCAAGATGCCTCAGCAGGAAAAGGCACTTGACTTGAGTTTGATCTCCATGACCCACACAGTAGAAGGAGAGAGCATATTCTTGCAAATTGTCCTCTGACATCCTCATGTACACAAGTGACACACATGCTTGCACATCCCCACACAACATGAATAAATGTCAAATAGTTAATGTAATATAAATTTTAAACTTAATTTTAAACTTAAAAGAAACATTGTGTTGAAACAGGATTATGACATAGTGTTGAGATGGAATCAAACATGAGTTTCTTTGTGGTGAGCCTTGTGTCACACATACCTCCTGCTGGCTTGAATATACCCACAGTATTGGATCAGTTTTTACATTCATTAGTAATGGGAAGGGATGCTAAATTTTGACTGGAAGTTAGGTGTTTAAAGATTTCCTATGAAATCTCATGAACCCACTAGGTTCTATCAGAGGAATCTATGAACAGCAGTTTATATGGGCCTGCTTTCTCTAATGCATGTCATTCTTTTGTGTTTGGATTGCTGTGTGATGAGAGTTTATGTGTGCTCATCACTCTTTGGACACTATGAAATAGCAAGGAGAAAAATGAAGTTTTCAGTGTAGAGAAGAACATGCTGGAAAAAAAAAAGAACTTTGTTGTATATGACATTAGTAATTCCATCTTGTCCATGGAGGGTCCATTCCAAGGCCCTCGGTAGAAACTGCATATCATATGGAACTATACAGACACTTTGTCTTTTCCTATACAAACAATTAGTTAAGTACTGTAAAAGACTGATAAAGGTAACTAATAAATAATTATAGAAACAGACTCTCAGAAAGGTTAAGTGAGTACCCTCCCTTGCACTCTAACTCCATCTTGAACTATATTTTTAGAGTAGTTGATTGCAGGCATTTGAAACTGCCTTAGTAAAGGATACCACTGTATACCCTCCCCTGTTTTAGGTTCCGCGTAAGTAAGCACAGGAAGAAATCTGGGGAGATTGGAAATTTGCACAAGATACAACCGGTAGTAAAAATTCTAAGCTAGAGTTAAGATTTGAGCCACACCCTACCCCCATCCAGTTCCAGTCTGCTGAATCAGGTTAGCTCTCCGGGTGCAGTTTCCTCACATCCTCAGATGAGAATGCGAGTCTTTATGGAGGGATGGAAAGTTACAAGAACCTGCACTGAAGGAGGAAAATTGTTCACTTTTGCTTATTTTGTAGCCAAAAGCTGGGTCTCTTGGATCGGGTTCGCCTTTCTAATCCTCGTGGTAGCAATACTAAAGGAAAGCTATTTACCCCTCTGAATGTAGATGCCATAGAAGAAAGCCCTTCTAAAGAACCAAAGCCCGTTGGCTTAAACAATAAAGAGCGTTTCCGCACCGCCTTCCGCATGAAAGCCTACGCTTTCTGGCAGAGTTCTGAAGGTAACCCCCTTCCTGTCTCTCAGCTTCCCTGCTTCCTCTACCAGCCCTCCCTTCTTCTTCCTCTCCTACCCTCTCCACTGAAGATCCCCTGCATCCGTAAAGCAGTCTTGCCCATTCCTTGTTCCAACAACTACATGCCTCACTTTATTTGTGTCTCTTGGGCTGGATACAGCAGTGCTATAGTCCATCACTCATAAATGAGGAAACTTGCCAGTGAGCTAGTCCAGGCCACCTCTGTGCTTCAACTCAAACTTTTCCAAAGAGCGTTAAGACCTGCACTGTAGCTGCTGAGGACAACCATGATGAGCTCGTTACCATGGAGTGCAACTGACAAATGCAGAGAGGCTGGTACACAGCTGTCAGGAAACAGACATACTAACACCCCAGGGAAAGGATAAAAGCAGTCAGAAAAACACACTGTGGGTTAAATATGATAGAAACAATGACCTGATGCACTTCTGTCACTTGGCAGAAGGCAAGACAAAGAGGAAAATATTGTCTTAGGGTCTGAAGCCACCAAGCCTGTAATATTCATCACATTGTTCCTTCCTCTAAAACCTCCAAGCCATAAAAGGCTCAGAAAGTGACCTCCCAAGGTCTTAAGGAGAAATATTGACAAGGCAAAAACCCAACTCAGGTCTGTCTGAGTGTGAGGCCCATGCCTGCCTTTTGCTGCTCATAAGATCACCCCCACCTACAGTGTTCACCTGAATTATCTCCTAGCATTCTCCTCCACTCCAGCTATGGTCTTCTCATATCCTTAACTTAGACTTCTAAATTACAGAGTGGGGGTGCTAAGGAAGAATAAATGGTGTCACAACTGGGGTCCACAATGTGGGAATAAAAGTATGGGGTGAATAACATACACACTGGAGATTCTGATTCCACAATGGTCTCTGAGATTTTCCACTTATGATGGACTACATTAATATATACATCTCCTTCACAGATGCTGGGACAGGCGATCCCATGGCAGAAGACAGGGGCTATGGGAATGATTTCCTCATTGAAGACATGATTCCCACCCTAAAGGCTGCCATCCGAGCTGTCAGGTAGACTCTTCTCCCAAGATCTAACTTCATATCCATAAGACACAGTTAGTAAAGTGCCTTTGGACCTGGAAAAGAGGACAGGAGCCTCTTCCTGGTCACCTTGAGCCAGGTCCTGTGACTACTTCATAGTCTATAGAGAGTGCTACCTTGAGTACATGATTCTTCCTTAGATAATTGTCACAGAGACACTTGTTTGAAAAGAGTGCTGCTTTAACCTCCTGGCAGCATATCCATCTATGACACCTCTGTCTGTCTTTAACCAACATAGATCACATAATCATATGGAGCCTTTCCTCAAAATTCACTTCAGTCATTCAGTATAGCTTTTTATCTGTCTGTCTTCATTCATCTATTCTTTTTAAATTAGCATTTTAGCAAGATAACAAATTATAGATGCGTTTGTCAGATTAAGAAAAATAGTAGGCTAGTTTGCTTCAGAATTCCTCAGGAAAGTCAAGAGAGCATGCTACTTCTGGAAAAAAAAATAAATCAGACTATGGGAATAGTCTCACTTTAATAAGTGGCAGAAATTAGTACAGTATTTTTAGCAAGATTCCCAGTACAATAGTCCAGAGAGCACAACAGTTTTGCAAGATGTGGACTCCAGCAAAGGCTTAGGTGTGGCTCCTCACATTATGTATGATATGACAGGAAAGCAGTTATGCAATAATTTATCTGTTGAATTTGTTACCAACTGATCAATCTCATTCAAAGAAAACCCGTTGTTCAAACTGATCCAGAAGGGGGCTCTACTGAGATACTCTGTGCTCCTGTTTCTGGACTCCAATTTATATCATTTTTTTCAGATGCCTTAATTCAAGGAACAGTACCCTTTTCTATGAAGTGTCCCCAGGTCTCCATCTCAAGAATTCAGTGTCGCCATCTTAGCACATAAAACCACACACAGCTGAGGAAGCATGGCTGCATTCCATTAGAACTTCCTGTTCAAACACATTGAACAGCCACTGTTTAACGGTTTCATTTCAAATGAGGCTAGGTAAAAGATAGGTATAAACTGGCAAGAAACTTTATATCATGATGAATAAACTGATCAATATGCCCAAATTGTCTTTGGAAGCTGAAGCCATGGTTTAAGACAAAATGAACTTGAACTGTGTTATCCAGGGGCTTTCCTTTTTTTTCTTTTCTTCCCCTGCCTCTGGAGTTTGCTGGACTATATTATGGTTTCCTTCACCATCTGCCCATGGTGAACAAATGCCTCTTCTTTGCCTTACAGAATTCTACAATTCCGTCTGTATAAAAAAAAATTCAAGGAGACATTGAGGCCTTATGACGTGAAAGATGTGATTGAGCAGTATTCCGCCGGACATCTTGACATGCTTTCCAGGATAAAGTACCTTCAGACAAGGTAATACTTTCAAAGAGAAAGGACTATGCACTTTCAGCTACGCAGGAATCCAAGTCATATGACTATAGAGTTTTAAGAGACAGGCATGCAGAAGTAATCTAAAATGCAGCAGAAAATCTTCAAGAACTGAAGTCCCCATCAAACACTGTGGATGTATGGGCCAGCAAACTTCACTCTCAAACTCAGTCTTGGCCTAAAATAGAGAGTCATGGTACCAGAGTGACCAGAGGCTTCTGTCCCTTCTAAATGAGATGACTGTTAGTATATTCTGTTCAGCACAATTTTCCAACGCTGTGGAGAATCCTGATACACTGCCACGGCCAACATATGTGCTCCCTGATTGGCCTGATGGAGAAAAGAAGTCGTGTAAATGTCTAACTAGTTCCTGATTATGATGCTTTGGATAACTATAGAACTCTAGATCATTGAAAAGATTCAGCTAATTTATTCTAAGTGTAAAATTTCAACCACACTTTAAAATCTTAAGTGTTATTCATGAAAGTGAAAAATAGAGGGGAAAAAAGGACACTATTTCTGAGATTATTTTTAGATAATGCCACCACTTTTATTGAGATCCTAAGTACTTCGCATATATATATCATGTCCATTAGGATCCCATAAGGTATTTATCACATCACAAGTGCCCTAAGTTTGATGGAGAAACCAAACCTGTGAGGAGATGTTGGAGTATCTTCCTGAATTAGTAGGAGTACTACACCATGAGGCTGTTGGTGACAGTATTAGCTTGCAAGTATATTTATTCATTTTTTTTTTGTTCCTCACATAGTGATAGATATAGCAAGGGTCAATCCCTACTGAACATATGTATGATGTATACACAAATTTTCAGTCTGTCCTTGCTATTATCTATGCAAAGTATGGCTATCTGAGAGGCAAAGGAAGACAGCATGCTGCCAACAACGGGCCAGCCTCCGAAACTATCAGACAGTTTCAATGTTTACAGAATAGACTGTTACACTGTCATGGTTTTTGATAGTTATCAAGAAAATGTGTTTCTGGGGATTGTAGCTGGAGGTTGCCTGCCAGGATGATGAATTGCATAATCCCAGCCATGTGGATACTTTAGAGGGCCAGGCAGAAAGGAAGGCTGACTTCAAGTGACACCTTGAGTGTCTGTAGAAATGAAGCATGGTTTCCAGAGAAAAACGTGACCCAAGACTATTCCTGGATGCATCTTATAATGTTTATCCTGAGACACCCCACCGCCCCTCTGCCATTGCCCCAGAGCATGATGGGTAACATCTTCTGTTGAGCTGTTGCTTCGTACAAAAATGGAATCAAGGAGCCCGGAGCTAGGGTTGAACCTTCCTTCCATGCAGAGCATCAGGGGGCTATGCGGCTAAAAATGGAGTCTGACAGTAGAACTTCTCTAATTAGGTAGTTTGGGGGTGAACAAAGAGCTGGAAGGTGAGATAGGCTTGTAGCATACATGTGGTGTTTGCTGTAAGGAATAAGACATAGTCCTCGCCCCAGCCCTATGGATTGTCCTGCTCTGGTACCCTGGATATGAGAAAATGTTCTTCCACTCTCAGATTGAAAAAAAAAAAAAAAAGGAATATCTTTGGCTTGGCAATTTTTCCTTTTCCTCTCTCTCTCTCTCTCTCTCTCTCTCTCTCTCATATCCTCTGATTTTCTACCTTTTTTTTTTTACGTAATCCAGTCCAACATTTGAATTAAGTTAAATTAAGAAAGGTAAAGATCTATTTTTCTCACAACAAAGCTTTGGTCAGTCTAATCTCTCCTTTTCTCTCTCTCTCTCTCTCTCTTTCTTCCTCTTTCAGAATAGATATGATTTTCACCCCTGGACCTCCATCCACTCCAAAACATAAGAAGTCTCAAAAAGGGTCAGCATTTACCTACCCATCCCAGCAGTCTCCAAGGTGGGGCTTGTGGTTGTGGACTGATAGACTGTTGAACACAAAGCCTGTGCATTATATCCATCTCCAAATTTAAGCTTGGATATTTTACGTGGGTGAAATTGCCTCCCCTCTAAATAAAATGAACAGAGAGTTGGAATGCTGGTTCAAGTTGTGGCCATTTGAAAATCTTCTGTGTAGATCACTTCATGTTACTATTCCAAGCTCATGTTAATGACAGTTATTTCTGCAGTTTTTCAAATAGAAAATAACCAGTTTTCTGCCTATAAGACAAGAGGGGACTTGAGAGTTTTATTGAAGCAGAGAACATATTTAATATTAGTGGAGCTTATGCATTCTTGGTTAGATCATTTGCTTTCTTCTGCACCATATCCTGAGGGTTGCCTGATACACATCCCAAGTCAAAAGTGAGAGAAGACATTCAGATGCCAGGACCTCTAACAACACTGTAACTCAGAGAATTCTCCTTGTTTCCAAAAACTATTTTAAATTTTTTAACAAGTATTTTCCTTTTTAAGGTCCGCCATTTATGTTTGTACCTCTTTGTTCCAAAACATCATGATCATGATCATGATTATTATTATTATTATTATTATTATTATTATTATTATTATTATTATTATTTTGTTCACTTTACATTCTGGTGTGGCCCTATCCCTCCTCACCTCCCAGTCCCACCCTTCCTCATTTCCCTCTCACCTATTCTTCAGAAAAGGGAGCCCCTGTTCCCATCCACCCCAGCTCAGGGATGAGCATGTCCTCTTCCCTTGTGGCCTGGCATGGCAGTTCCCCCATGGGAAATGTTCAAAAAGCTGGCAAGAGAGTCCAGATGTAGTCTCCACTTCCCTTACTAAAGAACCCACATGAAGCCTAGGTAGTGTTTGAAGAGAGGGAACAAGGTAGGAGAGGGGGTACAGAGAAATATGAGGGTGGAGATCAGATCTGGGGAGAGCGAGGGCCAGAGGACAGAAGGCCTGTAGAGAAAAGATAAGCTGAGGATGGGAGCATTTCTGTGACAAGCTGGAGACCTAAGTCAGGGTAGGCCTTAACCCCATGGCAGTCCTTCTCCGTCAGACACCAGACTATTGGGACTGCAGGCATGCAAGACTACATCTAACTAACTAACAACTTCCTCATTTCCGAGATGGTGGACGAGGTGTCTTCAGACTTTTTGAGAGTATAGTTGGCAGTATGCACTATAAACCTAGCATCTGAGAAATGGGCACAGGGAAGATCTTGAGTCCACCCTGACGTACAAAGGGGACCCTATCTCAAAATAAACAAATTAGAAATTGTTTATATAAACAAATTGCTATATCCAACCAGTAGGCTGGATATAGCAAGAGGCCACTAATTCTTAATTTTGCCTTAGTTGAAGACTGTTACAAAGTTACGAAGAGGTAACTTAGCAGAATCAGTAGCTTATTAGAGGGGAAAAAAAACAGCTATCAAGAAAAGCTGTGTTGGCGCCTTTAATCCCAGTGCTTGGGGGGCAGAGGCAGGCAGATCTCCATGAGTTCAAGGCCAGCCTGGTCTACAAAGCGAGTCCAAAAAAAAGAGAGAGAGAGAGAGAATGGGTTTTAGCAAACATCTCACATAATGTAAAACTATTGGACTGAACTAGAACTTAGGCAGATATTAATTGTACATAAGGAGTAAATATAGCCTTTCCCTGATTCCTGGCAGTGCCATTTGGCATTGTTTTCTAGATGCCGTAGGTGTTTGCCATTCTTAACAAAGTGGACTGCATGAAATGTATATGCCTACTCCATAGAATTTCAGAGATCAAACAACTCCTTCTTCATCCCCACAGTGTGAAAGCTCTGATGTTAAAAGGCAAAGGAAATTACTTTAAAGGAATAAACACTCTAGGCATTGTTACTCAATAAACTTTAACACAAAACAAAACCTCCTTTGCTACATTTTCCAGTCTGTCTTCCCATAGGAAGGTAAGCACACAATCAACTGTCCCTAGCTAAGGGTACCAAAGAAACCTCCTCCATGCTTAAATATTACTCAGAAGGGGAAATAGAATAGACAGCAGGAGTCACTGAAGAGAGGGATCTAGGCAGGAACCTTTGAGAGGCTCCACCCAGCAGCAGATGGAAACAGATGCTGAGAGTCACAGGCAAACATTGGGCAAAGCACAGGGAGTCTTGCAGAAAAGTGGGAGGAAGAATATGAGGACCTGGAGGTCCCAGGAGCTCCACAAGAAGACCAACAGAACCAACTAATGTGGACCGAGAGGTGCTTGTGGAGACTGAAGCACCAACCAAGGCCCATGCGTGGACTGGACCTAGGACCCCTATGAAGATATAGCAGATGGGCAGCTGAGAGTTCGTGTTGGTTCCCTAGTAAGGGGTGCGGGGGATCTCTCTGACAAGGACTCTGTTGCCTGTTTTTTGATCATTCCATGCCGGTGAGACTGCCTCCCTAGGCTGCGGGGAAAGTGGATGTGCTCAGTCTCAAGGGACTTAATGAGCTGGGGTAGGTAGGTGGGGGCATCCCCTTACCTGAGGACTAGGGGAGGGAAATGGAGGAAGAGGGAGGGAGGGTGGAACCAGGAGGAGAGGAGGAAGGGGAGGCTACGATTGGGATGTAAAGTGAATAAATAACTTAATTAATTTTAAAAAAGAGTGGATCAAGACAGATGCTATGACTCGCAGCCAAGCGTGGGGCAGAACTCTGGGGGTCCTGTGGAAGTGTTGGGGAGAAATGGAAGGACCTGGAGGGGACAGAAACCTCACAAAAAGGCCAACAGAAACGACTAACCCAGACCCACAGGGCCTTTCAGAGATCGAGATGTCAACTAAGGAGCACGCATGATCTGGACCTTGGCTCCCTGCACATATGTAGGCGACAGGTGATTTGGTCTTCATACGGGAAGTGGTGTGGGGGGATGTTTCTATCTTGGACTCTATTGTCTGCTTTTGAATCACTTCCCCCTGGCAGCACTACCTTGCCTGGCCTCAGGGGATAAAGATATGCTCAGTCCTGATGAGATTTGATGTTCTGGGGAAGGTTAAAAGGGGGCTCTCCTTTTCTGGGAAGAAGGGAGAAGGAGGGGAAGTGTGGGAAACTAGAAGGAGGGGAGGGAGGGTTCACCCTTGGGATGTAAAGTAAACAAACTAATATTAAATTTTAGAAAATAGAAGGAATGTATCCTTGTACGACCACTTTGGAAATCAATCTGGTGCTTTCTCAGAAAATTAGGAATAGTGCTACTTCAAGATCCAGCTGTAGGCATATAACCAAAAGATGCCCCACTATTCAGTAAGGACATTTGCTCAACTATGTTCATAGTGGCTTTATTTGTAATCGCCAGAATCTGGAAACAACCTAGATGTCCCCCAGTGGAGGAATGGATACAGAAAGTGTGGTACATTTACACAATGGAATACTACTCAGCAATTAAAAACAAGGAAATCATGAAATTTACAGGCAAATGGTGGGAACCAGAAAATATCATCCTGAGTGAGGTAATCCAGAAGCAGAAAGACACATATGGTATATACTCATATGTAATTGAGTATCAGCACTATAATATAGGATAAACATACTAAACCTATAGTCCTAAAGAAGCTACACAACAAGGAGGACCCTAGGGAAGATGCTTAATCTTCATTCAGAAGGGCAAACAGGATAGACATTGGAAGTAGAGGAAGACAAGGAACAGGACAGGAGCCTTCCTCAGATGACTTCTGAAAGACTCTACCTACCAGGGTATCAAAGAAGATACTGAGACTCATAGCCAAACTTTGGACAGCGTACTGGAAACCTTATGGAAGAACAGGGAGATAGAAAGACCTGGAGGATACAGGAACTCCAAAAGGAGAACAACAGAGCAAAAAAACCTGGACCTGGAGGGGCCTGCAGAGACTGATACTCCAACCAAGGACCATGCATGAAGAGGACTTAGTCCCCCTGTTCAGAGGAAGCCCATAGGCTGCTAAGTTTCAAAGTGGGTTCCATAGTAAAGGGTACAGGGGCTGTCCCTGACATGAACTCAGTGGCCAGTTCTTTAATCACTTCCCCCTGGGGGTTGCAGCCTTGTCAGGCCACAGAGGAAAGCTGATGCAGCCAGCCTTGATGAGACCTGAAAAGGCTATGGTCAGATAGAAAGGGAGGAGGTTCTTCCCTATCTGGGGACTAGGGAAATGACTTAAGGGGGAGAAGTGGGAGGGTGGGTGGGACTGAGAGGAGACAAGGGAGGGGGCTGCAGTGGGGATACAATGTGAATACATAGTAATTAATTAATTTTTAAAAAATAGAAGGAAAGAAACCTCCTCCAGACTTTGTCAGCATAAGTGAGAATCATGGTCCCACGTTCACAGTCTTCCAAGTTGCAATGACCCTGCATAGTCAAAACAGATGCAATGATCTTATGGAATCACTGCTTTTCCTTAGGAATGAGCCCTATGTGGCCAGGGCCGCCACATCAGAAACTGAAGACCAAAGCATGATGGGGAAGTTTGTAAAAGTTGAAAGACAGGTAGGTAAGCCTTTCTTTTCCCTCACCAAAAAGATAATACGTAAACATGTTTTCTTCTTTTTACATTTATTTGTTCTGATTTTCTGTGTATGAGTGTTTTGTCTGCATATATGTATATGCAACATGGGGATGACTGATTCCTGCAAAGGTCCTCAAACTAGAGTTATAGATGGTTTTGAGCCACCGTGAGAATGTTGGGAACCAAACCCAGGTCCATCTGCAAGAACAGCATTTGCTCTTAACTGCCTAGCTATCCTTCCAGCTCCACAGAACTGATTTTCAGGTGCCGTTTTTTTTTTTTTATATGGGGATAAGGCATAATAAATATCACCTACCACTAAAAATAAAATAGAAAAGATGATATGGAAATTAATTCCCTAATTTCACTTTTTCTGGCTAGGTGATCACCCACAAGTTAATTACTGTTTTGAAACTCCGATTTGCTTGTCTGTCATACAGGAAATTAAATACACCATAGAGCTGCTGTTAAATGAGGGTTAAATGAGCTGACACGTTAATCTCTTAGAGTGTGATATAGCGCACAGTGGGTCGTCAACAGATGGTCACTGCTGTCCGCATGTTCCGTGGTACTGCCTTAACAGATGTTAGTTCTCTTGCCAACACTTCACGTTCCTTTCTATTTCCTTTTGCTCTAGTCTCAGTCTGTGGGTGACCTTCGTGAGGATGCCCCACAGGGGACCAAGTTGTGATAAAGGGTCATCCAGGGTTCAAAGAGAGGCTCAGGCAATACACCCCATGTAGCTCATCTCTGCAGCCTACTAGATAAATGAATCCATTACTTTCTTCTAGGACTCAAATCAGTCTTTTTATCCATCACCCAAAACTAATCCCATGTAGGGAAAATGAGAGAAAATGTCAATGGTTGGTCTCTTGCTTCCTATTTTTAACTTCTAATGTATAATCTCGATTCTTGTGTGTGATAGCTCTGAGACCTTTCACCATTTATGTCATATCCCTGGACACTGCATTACTGTGTGAAACAGAAATCACAATGGCATTTACCTGTATGCTTGTAGAAATTAAGTCAATAGAGTGCATGGAATAAAGTCACATAGCCGCTTCCTAAGTATTCCTTACAACTACGGATCAGATGGACCTTAGCCATGACCTATCAAGAGTCTCACAACTTCATCCATCCAATGAGGTTATTCGCTTGCCTGATTTGGGGAACTGTAAACTGTCTGAGAAGGAATAGATCACACAAGGTGCACAGACTTGTGTGTATGCACAGATACGGAGTGTCAAGTAAGGAACATCTCTCTTACACAGAGATGTGGACACACTTGTGCTTTTGTGCTCACAAACATTCCAATTTATGAATGTCGTACTTAAAGTAGAAGCAGCTTCCTTTATTACCTGAGGACCGCTATTGGGCTTGTAGGCCTGTAAAATTATTCCTGACACTGCCCTCCAGAGCTTATGTTACCAAATGTCACTAACAGACACCAATAACCTATATGTTTGCATATAAGGAAATTTGCACAAAACAAGAACACCACTCCTTCACTGGAATAGTAGTAGCATCTTTTCCCGGGGTGGGGGTGGCAGTGAAAGCCTGTAACGCTTACCTCAAGCTCTCAGTGGACTTCCAGTCTTTGGCTCCAGTGACATCCTTGCCTGAGTATTTCGAGATGAATGTTAATGAGCGTATGGGCCCTTCTAGCGGGGGACATGGAGTCAGTTGGAGCTGCTCTTATTTCTAAGACTTTCAAAACATCCTTTCAGGGAAGCAGCAGTACAGTGCCTGGGAGCCTCATCCCCGGAGAAGTAGTGATTCCGGCGCTTGTATTTTCCAGGTCCACGACATGGGGAAGAAACTGGACTTCCTCGTGGACATGCACATGCAGCACATGGAGCGCCTGCAGGTGCATGTCCCAGAGGACTACCCGACGAAGGGGGCCTCCTCCCCAGCGGGGGAGAAGAAAGAGGACCACAGGTACTCTGATTTGAAAACCATCATCTGCAACTACTCAGAGACAGGCCCCCCCGACCCTCCCTACAGCTTCCATCCGGTGCCCATCGACAGAGTTGGCCCCTATGGGTTTTTTGCACATGACCCTGTGAACCTGACCCAAGGGGGTCCCAGTTCTACAAAGGCTCAATCCGCCCTTCCCTCCTCGGGAAGTACATATGCAGAGAGGCCCACAGTGCTGCCCATCTTGACTCTTCTGGATTCATGTGTAAGCTACCACTCCCAGACAGAACTGCAAGGACCCTATTCAGACCACATCTCACCCCGCCAGAGACGCAGCATCACTAGGGACAGTGACACGCCTCTGTCCCTCATGTCCGTCAACCACGAGGAACTCGAGCGATCTCCAAGTGGCTTCAGCATCTCCCAAGACAGAGATGATTATGTGTTTGGTCCCAGTGGGGGATCAAGCTGGATGAGGGAGAAGCGGTACTTGGCTGAGGGGGAGACGGACACAGACACAGATCCCTTCACGCCCAGTGGTTCCATGCCTGTGTCATCCACCGGGGATGGCATTTCCGATTCCGTATGGACCCCTTCCAACAAGCCCACTTAGAAGGGGTCACGGGCTGGCTCCTGCTACTGTAGACAGACTTTGTACAGCTCACTTACTCTCACCTCTAGCGCTTACAGTGGGGACTCCAGTGGCTATGTCAAGCGCATGCATGTGCGCAGTAGCCCCCCGGCAAGGAGGGGCTTCTCATGGCCTTCTTCTTCCCCATAACACTGCAACAAAGTCGCTTCCTTTTCAGCATGGTTTGCATGACTTGACACTATATAAAAGGCACTGTTAATCTCTTCTAGATACACATTTATCTGCTCTTCTTACTTTTAATGATGATTGAACAAGTACAGGGAGACTTATTGATGAGCTGTGCTATTTGTTTGGTTGGCTGGTTTGGGTTTTGATTTGGATAAACTGGGAGCATAGTTTAAGTTATTTCTAGGCTCGCTTCCCTTTTGTGTAAAATGCTCCAGTTAATTAACTGTTTTCTAAGCCAAGGAAATTATTTTCTCAACCAAAACATAATGCATTACAGTGAGGCTATCTACTGAGAAAACAGGAGAACAGAAACAAGATAGTCAATCAAACCCCAAAGCCGAAATTTTAAAAATTTATTTTGCTAACGGAAGGCTGGCAAAATTATGTAAAAGCTCTGAAGAGGACTTGATCTACCATTGTTCAGTACTGTGCCTCAGTTTCCCCATTCATAAGACGTTGGTGATCTAAAATATAGCATCATGTCTGTTATGGATTGGTGAGGAGAAATCTTACACATATACCATAAACACAAAAAAATAGTTCCCTATCTATATAGCCAAAGATAATGAAAGTTACCAGAAGTGGAGTGCCCCTCTAGGCAGGAGCTAAATTCAGTATCTTCAAAATGAAATTCCAATTCATCTGCCTTGCCTGTACTTGAATCCAAAGTGGAAATTAGAATCAAAAGCAATTATCTTTCCACATCATCTATTTAAAAGTGCAAAGTTTTGGGCACAAGTCCTGTGACTCGCCTTGAGACACTTGGCTGTCTTGTGGAGAGTAAGGACTCAAAACCTCCACCTGATGACTCACTCTTTGCCTCAGTCTCCCCTCATACTTTGCCATTTGCACACAGGAATCTAGAAATCATACCAAGACACCAGCACTCTTTATCCATGGGATGTAATTCTCACTGTTTATTCAAAGGGAGGAGGATATCTGTTCTGAGTGCAAAGCATACCTACTTGATGCCTTACAAGTGAGATCCAGGGTTGAAAATACAAACTAGTTATAAATATACAGATAGAAAGAATTCCCAGAATCACTCACTTTTACTCCTCTAGGTTTTCTTGGTGAAAATATCAGAACCAAGCAAAATCATAAGAGATGCTGAAGTATCAAACAATAGCCCAGAAACCCCTGCCCTGCTGTAAAAGGATTGATTTTAAGCACAAGCCACGATGTGGCCTCTTAGGATATATTGGTACTTGCTGAAAACCTCTGATAGAAAAGTTTAGACTCTGGCTACTCTTGCTGTATCACCACAGCACAGTATGTGTCTCAGTCTTTTCCTGTATCTAAACACTGGTTTGAAATGGTTACCATGACGATAATCAAGATGATGGAAATACCCTAAGTAAGTGAATGCAACTGTCAAGAGCCATAAATACCATGGCAGACATCTAGTTGATGTTTTCATCAATTTCCAATGTTACTGTTCTGTGCTGTGTTGGGGAGAGACTCCTCAGAGATTGGTTTCTTGCAACCTACATTCTGATTGGCCCTATACAAACTGCTGAGAATCAGTAATGGTGAAAACCTGTCCCATGACTATAGGAACTTAAACCCAAAACCTGAATTTCCCTGAATGATGGCAAGCACTGTGAATGGTAGAGGAATAACCTTCATCGATTGTGTCATGAATGGATATATGGATAGTGACCTTTAAGTGCAAGGCAGGCAATATTTTAATACAGTTACACACATCGGAGGTAACCCTTTTCCTTATGGTTTTCAAAGTGATTTTCTGGCAATATGAAAGACAAAGGCTTTGTAATGAACCTGTTCCCCCAGTTCTTTCAATATAACTTTAGTGACGTCATTAACACTTCTTCCTAAAAACTTGGTTCTTGAATCTGATCTTCCCAGAATTTTTTCACTAGGAATTGCTGTACTACCTAGCATCTAACATGGGCCATCCTTCTTCATGTGCATAAGTTATCTTTTTTGTTATCAGAAACAAAAAAGATGGAGAGGAAGAATATGTACCTCACAGTTTTCCCTAACATATTAACATTCTTTTATAACCTCCTAGCATCAGTATGTTACAGATGGATGCATTTATTTCCATGAGTTCAGTGGAGTTCTGGGCCAAGAAATCTTTTAGCTGGAATTTGCATTATTTTCCAAGCAACCTATAAGTGAGCAATCTTGCTTTCCTGGAAGGAATTAGTTTTGTATTGATTACCAACTTAGATATCTAGTCAGTTGTCTATATCAGGTAGGCAGCAGAATACATATTACATAGGGGACCAATACTAAAAGCCTTAAGAGTTGATCTTTCCCATTTAAGAAAACAAGCAGAAGAAAGATAGTGGAGTCCACTATTGTAATATTACTGAAAAAAAAAAAACTAGACCAACAAACCAAACGTACTTATCTGAACCTGTCGATAAACTGCATGGTCACCACTGGACTGGCACTGAGGATGCAGAAGTTCTGGTCCTGGGGTTGAAATGTCAATGTGTGTTCCATAAGATCTTTTGTAAGACAAAAGAATCTCAAGACAGAATAATCCAAAAGAATTGGATAGCGAGTACCAGAAAGCAAACAGTAACTCTGCAGTTTGCCTAGGAAGTCACAGCGATTTTGGCAGAAACCTAGAAATAGTGACAAATTAATTCCATCACAAAAACCAGGAATGGTTTTCTCAGGTAAAAGGATGGTCTCATTATATGTATATGGCTACCATGTTTTAAAATATAATATATTTAAATTTTTAAGAATTAGGACTGAAGGTATAACTCAGTGGTAGAGTACTTGTCTCCCATACATTAGTTCTGGCATTGTACAACACCAACACAAACACACACACACACACACACACACACACACACACACACTAGGGGAACATATTTTAGCAATATGAAATAAAATTAATGAAAGAAATTAACTTTTAAATGCTAATTAAAAGATAATTCTATCTGGCTGAAAAGTGAGATGAAGTGTAAATTTTAAATATTAAATATTATACAAGCAGATACTAAAAAGTTAAGAAAAATTGAATTGTGGGAAGGAGAAAAACAGCATTAAATTGAGAAAGTTCTTTTGAATAACTATTTGTTTTTAAAATTTATAGTTCAGCCTTACTGGTATGATATTGATGTTCTAAAATCTTATTTTTATGAAGAAGTAAGTAAAAAACAACAAAGTAAATAAGTAAAACCAAACTAACCAATAATTATGTATCTATTCTGTACAAAGCTGTTACTAGACATTGTAGATCAAAAGTAAGCACTATTAGAAAACAGAGAATAACAGAATCTACTCACAATTTGTCGAAAGCATTCTCATAGTTTCATGCTACTCTGAGAGGGTAACAAAGAAATATTCATTTGGTTATTAATTTAGCAGGTTTTTCTAGATATCACTGAATACCAAGACTTATGCAACAGAAATTCAGAGACCAGAAAGCCAGTTTCTGCTATAAAAAACCTGGTGGCCTCAACTGTTGATGATCTTTTTAGACTCTTTCTACCTGATTTTTGTGGCTGCAAACAGCTGTCCACCAATAAGAGTGCTCCCCACTGGGAAAATTGCAAGTTCAACACAGAAGAGAGTGAAAGTGAAAGCATTACATCTAATGACAATGATCCTGTCACCTTAAGGAAGGCTTTAAGTTCATAGAATGGAGACTTTGCATTTGGGTTCATCATTCTGGACTCTATAACACCAAATAACCAATGCAAGAACCTGGACTCTGAAGAAGGTTCCTGGAGAAATCAGCTTTCTTCCCTGTATTCTGCCACAATGGAGGCCAGAGAAGTGAGTGGCTGAGGCATTTGTTTCACCATATTGACCAAAAAGCAAGTGGCAAAGGTCATGTCACAACATCTGTTTGAAAAGAAGGAACTAACTCTACTAGTCAGAAGCTGCAGGTCAAAGTCTTTGGAGAAAAGGGAAGAAATGCTCTTAGAAGCCAACTATACTTTTGACAAAGCTGCCAGATAGACCCTGCTTCTCTTAATCTATTACTACCCCAGATGATGCTGCAAAGAATAGATGCTCTTTGGTTTTCATGAATATGTCCCCAAGGTATCCCAGGACCACAGAGACATTCTTGCTTTTGGAGTTTTGGGATATCTCTAAGAATTTGTCTTTACTTGTCTTCAAAAGCATGCTATTTCCAGAGTGAACTTTTAACATAAATTTGCTTTCTGCATCCAAAAATATTCAAAATTCTCATGCTGCTTCTGCAGTTTAAAACTGAGCCATCTTTACCCTAAAACATGGCAGTAAGTAGCAGCTCTGTGGGCTCCCAACTTTAGAAATGTTAGGGTTCATAATACCTATGTAGCTTCCATAGGTTTGGAAACCATGAGGTGACGATGGATAGTGTCAAACAAATGAAAAGGATGTAGAGATGAGTTGTATAAAAATCTGAGTTTTGGAACACTCAAAACTGACTATTTCAGTCTTTTAAGTTTCAAGTGAGACAATCAACTATGTATAAAGCCCTTAGTGAAGTTTCTGGTCCATACCAAAACTGTTAATAATTATTTATTTCTGTTTTTATAATATGTGTAGACTCCAGTACATTGGTTAATGATATTATGGACTTTAAGTTCACACCAGAAAATATTTTTTTAGGAAAAAAAAAAAGCTGGTGGAGATATAATCCAAATTATTGCATGATAAAACTAGATGCTCTCTAATCATGTACCTGTCTGCAACTAAACATGATCATTTTTCCCATCAAAGTGTGCAAGATAAGGAATACTGAAAGGAACATTAAGAATGCTGGTTCTCAGTAGTTGAGTGGTGAAAGTTTTATTGGACAGAGAGTGACAGATGTAGCAATGTTCTCTAAAACATGACTTATAGGAGATGGAGATGAAAAAGAACTAATTAAAAATGAAAGGAAAGTCAACTGTGGCATGATGGCTACTAAGTAGCACCCTTGTCATGAATGGGACATTTTCAGAAAGAAGGTCAAAACGTCTTCAAATTCTTCCTTGTAGATAGAGTCTCAGCCTTCAGCAGCCTCAACTTCAGTATTCCTCTGGGATCAGACACAGTTCAACAGAATTGAGGAGATGTAATTTCACATATTCTAAAATGCTCAGAGCAAGAAATTTATCACCCATGTTTTTTGTTTGTTTTTGTTTGTTTAGGGCAGGACATAAACACTTAGAGAACAGGGGCCTTTAACCAGGTTTCATGGTGGTT